ATAGTTTTGCTTGTTTAAACCGAACATGCAAAAAAAAAGTCTGTTTTTTTCATATGTTTTGATAAAGACAAGATTTTTATGCTGCATTTGAAGTATATTTGTTGTGCTCCTGTTATGGTAACAACAAGGTCATCGTCATAACAAGTTGCTCTTCTTTTCTTTATATTTTTATGGTAGATGATATAGATGGACATTGTTGTTTTGTTTCAATTATCAAAACAAAGAGAAACCTTTATGGCTAGAGAATCTAGAACACCTCATGAAACTGTATGCTAGAAGAATTAGTTCTTTTGATTGCATGTTTTTAAGTAGTTAAAAGTATGATTCTTCCCTCTTGATATAGTTTTTGCCTACCACTTGACAAGTTTCCGTTTTTGAAATATTGCATCTAATTTTAAATTTCTTACTATGTTTTGTCAGGACTATAATGACATGAAGATTCCGGAGTTATGGATATTGCAGCTACTCAATCTTGTAGAAATATAGACCAAAGAATCGTATGACTGATTGGATTTGTAGTTGATTTTTATAGCGCCAAACTTTTATGCTACAATAATTAGTCTTTTCAATTATATGTTCATAGCATTGATCAATAAATGTATTTGAAAAAATTGTATTTTTAATAATGATAGAATTTCATGCTATAAAACTTGATATTTTCAATTATATATTAATATATGAGATCTTAAGAAACATGAGAAAATATTGTGGTTAGTGATTCATAATTAGTCATAGAAAAATACCGTGACCAATTGCTAGTATCTAAACACGGGAAAACCAACCAAAATACACTGACTAATGATTGTCATCTAGTCATGGGAATCTATTTTGTCACGGTAGATACTGTGTTCAAAAGATGGACATCCCGTCTCTAAATTACTTTTTTATGTGTGCTAAAATTTGCACCGTGATGAATATGGTACAAATTATCGTGGGAAATTATACCATGACGATTTATAACTAGTCATGGTGCAAATTTTTCGTGACCTTTACAATTAGACACAGAGGTATATATTACGGTAATTTTTCCATGACTAACAGTATTAAACACAGGAAACACCCTTTCAAACACGGGATGCCCCGTGATTAAAGGATCGTTTTCCTGTAGTGTAGTGAAGCTACCTAAATCTTGTTTCTTCTTGGGCAACTTGTTTTGGATGATGGCGGAGCACTCCTCGCCCCAAGTGACTGAGGCGAGGTCTTCAAATTTCTGCTTCTTAGCAAAAAGCCCCTTGAGGAACTTCACGTACCTCAGAATATACGCCATTGCTTCCAAGAAAGGAATCGTGACATTGAGATTCACGAGAATCTCCATAAAGTTGTCACACTCCGCCTCCAAACAGTCCTTTTGTACTCTTGTAGGAAGAGGGAGTGGAGGATTGTACTCAACCACTAGAGGTCGCGTCGGCGGTGCCTTCTTAGCCTCTTCACCTTTTCCTTTTGAAGGTTCTTGTTCATGGACCTTCTGAGGGGCTTCCTCTTTTTCATTTACCTCTTTAGTCGCAACATCTTGAGTTACCTTCCCACTTCTTAATAGAATAACATTCACCTCGGCTCTTGGATCCTTAGGGTTAGCAACGGTTTGGGAAGACAAAACTCATTGTGGTCTCTCGGTGAGGATCCCGACAAGATTGCCAAATTGAGTCTCCAATGTTTGAAGGCTCACTTGATGACTTCTTAGACCCGCCCCAATTGAAGTGAACTTGTTTGTTGCGATTTCCATGAATTGCTCAATTTTCTTGAACTTTGGAGAACTTGTACTCATAAATATGGTGACTAGGTCTTCAGGTTTTGAAACCTTATCGAGCTGTTGTTTAAACCCTTGTTTACCTTGTGGTTGAAATTGTTGCTGAAAGTTTGAGCCTTGAAATTGTGATCTTTGTTGAATGAAAGGAGGCCTTGGTTGATAGTTCCCTTTTGGTCCTTGAAAACCGGGTGGTCTTGGATAGGTTGGTGAAGACCATGCAAAGTTTGGATGATTGCGCCAACCCCAATTGTAAGTGTTGCTATAAGGGTTGGTGTTGTTGATTCCCTTAACATTAGAAATGAAGCTCACGGAGTACCAAAAAAAAAATGAAGCTCACTTGCTCCTTCGAAGTTCTCGCTTCCTTCATAAGTTGGCACTCTGCAATCTCATGGTTGGGACTTGAACACCAATCACAAACCATAACCGGCTTCTTCCCTTGCTCCTGTCATGTATGAGCATCGTGATCAACTCATCAGTCTTCTCTGTAAGTGGAGGATCTGCCTCCGTGTAGTGTACTCCCTTCTCTCGTGTCCTCCTCCCACGCCTTGGCAACCACCAACCATAGCCCTTAGCGACCATATCCTCAAATAATACAGTCATCTCAGATGAAGTCTTTTTGAGCATGTTCCCTTCACACAATGAATCAATGAGAATGCGATCTTCTAAATGGAGATTGTCGTAAAAGGTCTCGATCCGGAACTGCTCTTCGAACCCGTGGTGTGGACACTGGAGAAAAGGTCAGAGTATCGCTCCCAAGCATCCCTCAAATTCTCATCCCCCTCTTGGAAAAGTGAGTGATATTTTTTCGGTATTTCGCCTTTTGAAAGGTGGACAAAACCGGTTCATGAACTTGTTGAGCAAATCTTCCCACAAAGTTATCGAAAGTGGTGTCTTGTTGTTCAACCATTATTGTGCTCTTCCACTTAGAGAGTAGGGGAAAAGCCTCAACCTAATGGCCTCTTCGGGTACACCATTGATCTTCAATCCTCCCGCTAACTCCAGAAACCTCTTGACATTCTCTCGTGGAGATTCATTCTCTAGTTCATAGATTGCATGTTGTTCTGGATCATTGTAATGAAGCCGAGCTTTATCTCAAAGTTGTTGACGGCAACGAGTGGATGCAAGATGCTTGATTGAATATTCGCGCCCGTGGGCCATGTAATAGCCCATCGTCCTCGGTTCACCATCTATGTGATTTTCTTCATCCCCATATCAAGGTTCTCAACTTCAACCTCTTCTTCCGATTCAACTTCCTCCTCAACTTCGACTTCTCCTTCGAGTTCAACGTGTGGTTTACCCCAATCTGTTGGTCTTTCCCTTGCTTCCCTCAAATCTCTCTCCCAAGCCAAGAGTTGGGCAGTCTGGTTGATTTTCTCGTCTAGTACTGGGGCCAAAGGTGTCGGACCACTCCGGGTTATACACCTCATGCACACACATCACAAAACGCAACTCGAGCCAAGACAAGCAAGATTCACACTCAACAATGGATAAGTTGAAAAGCTAGAGTAACACTAAACGACTTTTTCTGAATAATGGACCGTAAACTATCACCGACAATGACGCCAAAAACTTGACTCGTTCCTAACTACACAATTAAATCCTTATTAAAGCCTAAGCGCAAACTCTAGTAGGGTGTAGTATAGGAAAGTGTTTTAAACGTCAACCCGAGGCGGTCCATGTACCCCTACTTCAATCGTTTAAATTGTTATCTACAAACGATTTGGAGTTAAAGCTAAAGAACTATAGTGAAAGCAAGCAAATAAAGTAAATTGTGATGAATTCGATGTGAGAAAGCTTCACCTGGGTATTGTTTCACCTAGTCTCGTGTCAAGGTCAACCGAATGGAACTCTAGTGTGGAAATGTGTGTTCATATACTGTGGCGAGGATGCCATTAGTGGAGAAACCCCACTCTCTTAGTCGATTAATCAAGGATTGACAAAATAAGCTAGGAAGCTAACTCTCTTGACTAATCGACTAAGGATTGCTAAGACTACTCCCTTAGAAGCTAATCGCAACGGCGAAAAAGTAACCAATCACGATAGATTCACGGCAGTAATTCGGTGTTTGAGACCCTCCCTTATTTGCCCTATATGGTGTTATCTAATTGGCTAAGAAATCTAGCTTTTTTATAAAAATAATCGAGAGATCTAGCTTCTTCTGGCCCAAAGGGGAATTTCTTCCACCTTTGTGAATTTGACCTAAATTTGAGAAATGAATAACAACACTCAAGAATCATGAAAAATACCTCAAACATTATATTAAACACAACCCCAACACACATAAAATTCAATTCATACAATCTATCACATTTCTAGACTAGGGTTCACAATATCCAAGTGAATTGTAGAACTACTTCATGACTAAGAAGAGGAATACAACAAATATGGAAAGAAAAACCATGGTAAATTGCTTCTCTTCCCCTCTAGTTGCTTGGATTGACTCATTGGAGGAGAAATATCCTCTCTTCAAGCCTTGGGTAGGTCAAAACTCTCTTATTTCTCCTTTGATTCGTGACTTTCTCTCTAGTTTAAGAAGAAGAAGCCAATCTCACTCCATAACTATCCTCCTTTGGTTTAAGCTCACTCCTCTTTATATACTCCAGTTGGGCGATTATAACGGTCATATCTCACGCCCGTGATCCTATAAGCTTGCCCGTGATCTCGACCCAAAACGCATCGGTTCATTTATCGTCTTCACGGTCGGATGGACATTATCACATTCTTGTGCTGTGACAATTGACATGCCCGCGAGACGTGAAAAGCCTCATGGAAGTTGCCCATCTTTACGGTCTGGCCTCCATCTTCACGGTCTCCTGCCCGTGATGTTTGCTCCTTGACCGTGATCTCTGCGTTTTTGTCAATTTCACTCCATTCTCGCTCTCTTCCGTTCGAATTTCGCTCCTAAGGTCAATTCCACCTGCTAAGACGTGAAACATGCTAAAACATGCACAAATCTAGTGTAAAATTGAACCTCGAGTGATCTAAATATCTGAAACATCACAAGAATATGAGATAAAAACATGTGTAACTATGCTCGAATAATGGCTATTAGCTTTTAGAAAAACCAGGATTGATGATTTTTGAAATTTCTAATCTTAAATTCCGAATGCTTTTCAAACAAATTATTCTTGTAAAATCCGGGATGGTAATCAAAACGACCCCACTTAGAGCAGGGGGCATTTGCAACGTCAGACGTTTCTCAATCGTTGATATCTCCCCGTAGAATCCAACGGTTGATGATAAACCCTAACTACGCCGTGCCACTTCTCCCCCTCTCCTAATCTTTTAAAAGCTGCGCGTTTCTCTCAGTTGTGTTTGTTTCTCTCTCGCAGCTGCACACAGCACATCCACACCACAAATCGCTCTTTACTCGTTAGTTCGTCACCGCCGGCCACAGAAGGAGAGGCTCTTCTTCTGCGTTACTGCGGTAAGTTTCGGATCTTCAGGTTCCTTTTCCGTCCGTATTACAGATCTATTCTAGACGTTGCTTTCTCGTGCGATATAGTATCAATTTCACTGATGCTTAGCTGTAGCCGTTGTGTGCATGTGTTTCCAATCGTATAGTTTGCGGTTAGCTAAAGTGAAGGCTTTTTTCTTAGCTTCGTTCCGTTTCGTATCTAGCTATGTCCTTCTGCTCCACGAATCTGATTTTTAGTAATTGAAACAATCAAGCAATCTTCAATTCTGTCATGGAGAAGTCTGTATGTAAATCCGGTCGGGTCAATATCACAGGAACGGCTTCCTTTTTTACGATATTGTCTATTCTGGCAGTGTCATGGGTTTCATGATTGAATTTTTTGTATACATCATTCTGATGGCGGTGTGATGAAGCATCTGTTTCTGTTTTCATATAATCTGGTGATTATATGAGATATATAGATTGACATTTTATACTGATGTTGATTTTTTCATGAATTGCAGTTTTTTTATCCTCGTTAGATAAAAATGGGTAAGGAAAAGGTTCATATCAATATTGTGGTCATTGGCCATGTCGACTCTGGGAAGTCAACCACAACTGGACACTTGATCTACAAGCTGGGAGGCATTGACAAGCGTGTGATTGAGAGGTTTGAGAAGGAAGCTGCTGAGATGAACAAGAGGTCATTCAAGTACGCCTGGGTGCTTGACAAGCTCAAGGCGGAGCGTGAGCGTGGTATTACCATTGACATTGCCCTGTGGAAGTTTGAGACCACCAAGTACTACTGCACAGTCATCGATGCCCCTGGGCATCGTGATTTCATCAAGAACATGATTACTGGTACATCCCAGGCTGATTGTGCTGTCCTCATCATCGACTCTACAACTGGTGGTTTTGAGGCTGGTATCTCCAAGGATGGACAGACCCGTGAGCATGCTCTCCTTGCTTTCACCCTTGGTGTCAAGCAGATGATCTGCTGCTGCAACAAGGTCAGCGAGTCTCTTCTTGCTGTGCTCTTGTTAACTATCTATTTATTCTTGAATCTTGATGCTACTTGGATATCGTACTAAATTTTGTATTGATGTTTACTGTAGATGGATGCCACCACTCCCAAGTACTCGAAGGCTAGGTATGATGAAATCGTGAAGGAAGTTTCATCCTACTTGAAGAAGGTTGGGTACAACCCAGACAAGGTTCCATTCGTTCCCATCTCTGGGTTTGAGGGTGACAACATGATTGAGAGGTCTACGAACCTCGACTGGTACAAGGGCCCAACCCTTCTTGACGCTCTTGACAACATCAACGAGCCTAAGAGGCCATCTGACAAGCCACTCCGTCTCCCACTCCAGGACGTGTACAAGATTGGTGGTATTGGAACTGTGCCAGTGGGTCGTGTGGAAACAGGTGTCATCAAGCCTGGTATGGTTGTTACCTTTGGTCCTACTGGGCTGACAACTGAGGTCAAGTCAGTTGAGATGCATCATGAAGCCCTCCAGGAGGCTCTCCCTGGTGACAATGTTGGGTTCAACGTCAAGAATGTTGCTGTCAAGGATCTCAAGCGTGGGTTTGTTGCCTCAAACTCCAAGGATGACCCTGCAAAGGAGGCTGCTAACTTCACCTCCCAGGTCATCATCATGAACCACCCTGGCCAGATTGGGAACGGTTATGCCCCAGTGCTTGACTGCCACACTTCCCATATTGCTGTGAAGTTCTCTGAGATCACAACCAAGATTGACAGGCGATCTGGCAAGGAGATTGAGAAGGAGCCCAAGTTCTTGAAGAATGGTGATGCTGGGTTCGTGAAGATGATTCCGACCAAGCCCATGGTGGTGGAGACCTTCTCTGAGTACCCACCTCTCGGTAGGTTTGCTGTCAGGGACATGAGGCAGACTGTTGCCGTGGGTGTGATCAAGGCAGTGGAGAAGAAGGATCCTACTGGTGCCAAGGTCACCAAGGCTGCTGCCAAGAAGAAGTGAACCGTGCAGGTTGGATGTTTTGGTTTAAAGTTGAAGTGTCTTATGAATAATTGTTGTGGTCGCGGGAATGTAGTGTTCTCTTCGTTGACTTTCGGTGTGCCTTCGTCAATCCTTTGTACTTGGTTATTAGGTACCCTTTCTCAGAATTGGGTGCTTGATAGGCGGTGGCGTACTTTTTGAGAATTCGAGTCCTGTGTTCGAGTCGTTTGTAGGTTGCATTAACTGTTCCTTTGTCGAGGTGCTCTCCTCTCCGTTCAGGGGAGCTGCTCAAAAGTTTTGTTTTTTCATCTGCTGTTGAACAGTCGAATATTTGGCGCTCAATGTGTGGTTGATAAACATTTGTCTCATCACCCTTTGTTTTACTGTCTCGATTGACTGTTTGTTCCAAGTTTCATTTGAGCTTTTAGGTTTACAAACCTTAATCTGGTGCAATAGGTCTTCTTGCTTATGAATTTAGGCAAAGGGACGTTGTCCAGAATTAAGTTTGGCAATATCCACCATCATTAATCTCTAGTGAAGCAGCGAAACACCAATGTGCCATCTAGGAATGGCAATGGGCAGGTCCGGGGCGGGTTTCTTGGTGGTCGGGTAATTGATCACGGGTCGCGGGTCGGGACAGGTCGACCCAATAGGTATGCAATTTATATGAAAAACATTAGAAATATTCGTTATTTTTATTATAAGACTAAGAAAACAAACAATATTATGATAATTGTAGTTAAATTATTGGAGAAGTTGAGATTTTCACTAATTTACAACTTTATTATAGCTAAAATATGATGCAATAAAAGAAAATTCTAAGTAATTTGACTAAGATTACATGTGATTTAGACAAGAACGGGTCGAGAATGGGACGGGTCAGGGCAGGTCGGGTCGATGAGACTATCCATACCCGCCCCGCCCCGCCTACGGGCCGGGTCAGACCCGCCCCAAAACAGGTCAAACAGGTCGGGTAAAACGGGTCATGTCGAAATTGCCATTCCTAGTGCCATCGTTCCACCGAACTCTCTAATCCCGGATTCAAAGTCTTTCATCATTGCCATGTTGAACTTTCTGTCCTGCATTTAGAGGCCAAAATACCAATGTTGTCAAATCTGAATCGCACCGATAATATGAATAGCTCGCATTTTGGTGGTCCAACCGATAGTGGGCCTTTCAAAAACCGTTAGTAATCCGGTATCTTAAAAAGAAGGCTTATAATGAAATTTAAATTTAAATTTAACATAGGATTTTGACAGTTTGGCCACGCAGAAGGAGGCGGCTTCTGCTTTCTACCACAGTTAAGTATATTGCTGTTATGGTAGAAAGCATGCACATTGCACACTCACAAATCAATGAAGAAAAATTCAGTCTCCAAATTACCATTAGGGCAGTATAACTATCAGAAAAATGTATGAGCACAGTGAGTTAACAAAATGGAAGAACTCTGTCAAATGTTCACAGAGCCTCGATCCTTGATCGTTTTAACAGCCAGAATCTTCACTCCTGCTGCGCTAACGAAATTCCAAACGACTGAAAACGTGCACGGCATCCCTAATAGATAGCTTAACAGCTCTACTCGTCACTAGAATAGTCAGGGGTTCCAGAATCGAGGTCGCCTAGTAATAAAGCCATTTGGAAAGGTGACAAGCTATCCTCATCATCCGAAAAGTTAAAATCTTCAGGATCGAGATACTCCATATTAAACGGATCACAGAAGTCATCATAATCAAGGAATTCCGGATCCCACGCATCATCTTCATCATCATCATCCACCATTCTCTGCATATACAATGCCGGAAAATCCACAGCATTGATGTTGCGGGGAAAAGGCCTCCGTGGAGGTGGTTTGTGATGTTTCCACACATAAGAGCCAGGCTTGACATGATGCTGGAATACAACAAGAACATTACATCCATTAAAGGAGTCATGAAGCTAACATTCTCCTGAATCAAATCTCAACAAAGGACAAAATGGCACAACATACTGGAAAATGAGAAGCGAAAGTGTTTGACTAAAGCTGATCTCGATATTATCTATAAGATTACTACAGCACAAAATGTAAATGAACATATCATGACCCTAACCCCTTAACTGGTGAAGCAAAATCATGTAACTGAGAAGTCAGACTGGTATGTAACTCATCAACTGAGAAAGAAAATGCAGATCAGAACCGAAAAGCATGTGAGCATATTGTAGCTAATGAATATGGCAGACCAGGAACTAAATCATCCACCTCTAAAATCTGTAGTTGCGATAAGATGTCAAGCCTAGTTCTAATCATCTTCATTTAGCTGGTCAGTCAGTAACAGAAAGACAAGCAGATGGACACCACTTGCAAATCATGAGAGGTACATCGTCTAGGAAAATTCATATCACATATAAGAGACAACATAACATGTGGGAACTTCACACACAAATATATTAGAAGAAAATGATAAATATTGAATGCAAAACAGAGAGTTTCATGAGCTCACTGACTTCAATAAGCAGCATACTTAGCATAACCTGTTCAAACAGTAATACTGACAAAAGCATGACAATGGACGTAGCAGAATTAAGAATTGGAGTCTGATTTACCTTGTAAAAGCAACTGGAGCCAAATGGGCAGTTTCCATTTCCAAACTTGAAGTGTTTGCAATCGATTGAACTGTAAGATGGAAAATGTGAGCATAGATTAAGATTAGTTCTTTTAACCATAAATAAATGTAGTCAGTATGGCCTGGACATACAAAATCTATTCCAACAAATTAAAACTGATCTCATAGGATAATCAAGCAACTATAACAAACAGAAAAAGCTTGCCTAAGCTTTGTCTTGTAGTTCTCAATGATTTCCATCTTCTCTTCTTGGGAGAAATACCAGATCACACTGGGAACCACAAAATAGGATAGCTTGCGACAAACTGGGCACGTCCTCGACATAGAACTAGGTTCCACTCCAGAGGTTGGCGAGCTGCTTCTCCAATTCCTAATACAACCTATGCAGAATGGATGATCACAATCAGACAGTACACCAAACTTTCTTTGTGCTGCCGCCGGCTTCAACAGCACTTTATCCAAGCACACACAACATTCTATTTCTTGGCTGCGCTTCAATGCATCAAGATGTTTTTGCATCTGCTCACAAGTCTTCATATGCTCCTCTCTTTCTTCAGGCCTGAAAGGATGCAAACAAGGCTTCCCACAGGTGGGGCACAAGTCGCCATGGATATGTGGACACTGGTCTCCTCTAGGGCAATTTCCAGCGGCAGCATAAGAACAAAGCGGACGATCTGATGGTTCCAAATTTTGCAGCTCAACGGCAACATCAGTTTCAACGAACTCATTCTCCGCAGATTCCAAATGCCATGGTGGATGATTGGATGGAACGAAAGGTCTGCTGCCAGGGGAGAGCTCTGAAGAAGAAGCAGCACAATGTGGCCTGGAAGCTTTAACATGTTCATATCGGCAACGACTCCCATAATAGCATTTCCCCTTCTGATAATAGGTGCAAATCTGCACAGGAATTTGGAGTAAGGAATCCGAAATACCTAGAGCATGTATATAATCGAATTCCAAAACATACATCTGAAATAACGGAGTGGATTTAACAAACTTACATTGCTTGAAGGATCTTTCCAGCCATGGGAATATTCACAATGCTCCCCTTTCAAGCATGCCCCATGGGCAAAGAACTTGCACAACATCCTAGAGCAAGTAGATTCAGCAAGGATTATCAATCAGCACAATTGAAAGCAAATATATCAAAAGAAAAGGAAACTGCCATGAGAAAAACAAGAGAACGAAGAAAGAGTCGTGATAGCCAAAGATCGTTGGTAAACAAGCAAGCAGAAGAAGAAGAAGAAGAAACAAACAAGAGGGAGCGAGGTTTTGAGTAGAGTCACCTTTTAGACATGGAAACGAGAAGTTCTGAGGGAACTCCTATCAGCGGAAACGTGGAAGAAGTGAAAGGGAGGAAGAACGAAACAGCAGAACTGGAAGCAGATGATACTCAGGCGCAAAACTTTGATCTCAATTTCAGTGGTAATCCTCCTGATCAAAGAGCGGTATTAAAGCAACGGAAGCGGCACGATGTTTCTCTCCGAGCTCCGGCTGCAGAGCATTCGCCTTCTTCTCTTCCAACTTTCCTTAATATGTGGCGGAAACTCTTCAATTACTTGCCGCTAACCGCTCCTTTCTCCCTTTTCTTATTTTTTCTTCTTCACCGCGCGAGAGAGAAGGCCGGGCGGCCCTCTTCCTTTCGGCCCATGGTAACGTGTCCAGTCTTCTCGGCCCAGTCCGCTTCAATAGTTAAGAACATAGAATCAGGGTCCAGTTTGAGTTTACCGAATTCATCCAACACTAGTTTCCTCAAGATTATAGCTGAAACAGGGTTGAACTTTGAACACTTTCTTGCTCTTCGCTGTTGATTGTTAAAGTGTAAGCATACATTGGTTGTACTTTCTGCACATGTAGCCTTCTATGGTTCTGATATTGTACTACACTTTTCTGCTTTCTTTTCTATCTTTGAACAATTTGAGACGAGATATGCTTTCCTATTTACAGGTTGTTGCGTCCACTGGACTTGTATCAATGCCAAAAGAGACCATCTGGGGAGGGGGATCAAATTACAGAATCATCTAATCGAGCAATGAGGTTGAAATGAAATTGCATCTCATATGGCTACCAGTAACATTGCCAGATAGATGGATGCAGTAACTAGCTAGCATCAAGACTGCAGTAACTAGCTAGATCTCACACTGCAAAACAAGACTGCAGTCTTAAGCAACACCAAGTGTATAACCACTTTGTCTATCGCTTCCCTTGCAAAGCGGATCCAAATCAATCCCTTGCCGAGTGGTGCATCATGACATAAACCTCGGCCGTTCAAAAATATAACAGAAAAATCCAAAAATTACAGAGGAAAGAATTCTGGAGGTGCTTTTATTCTTGGAATGAAACCCTCAACCAACCCTCCATTTTGATAAAGGCGGTATCTAGAGATTTCAGTAGCCCCAGTAGTCGTTTCGGATTTCATCGTCAAACTTCTTCCTAAGCTCAGGGTGCTTCTCGAAGTACTCATCAGCAGTCATGGTGCTGATCTTTTTCTGTTCAAACACAATTCAAAGAGCAGAGAGAATAAGAGTGATGAAAACTGCATATCCAAGCATGTTTAAATAAGTATGGAAAATCATCCAATGTCACACCTTCATCTCTTGGACTTCAACAATCTCCTTCTCCAAGCGTTCAGATTCTTTGAGAGATTGTTGCTCCGCCTCTTTGAGTTCCACCATCTACAAGTGCAGATGTTTAATTTAATCAAATGGCTAAAGAACACGGTTGAACTATTCAACCATAGAACTAATGACAGAGCAAGGACAACGGCAGATTAACAAACGAAAAATCAGGATTAGCATTGGTTTCCTGTTTGTTCATGTGCTCACCAGTTGTTCAAACTTGGGTTTGTACTCAGGAGTGACTTTGTCCACATACTTTGGTATCTCAATGCCTGCAAAAATATTAAAGAGACACAAAGTCACATCAAATTACATAAACAGACACATAAGAGATACCTTTCTCTAAGAAATCCACAGCAATCCGCTCTATAAGGCGCCACCCATACAAAGCAAGCACAATTAAGTGTGTCGCACGTAATTCTATTACTAAACTTCAAATATAGTAGCTAAGAGATAAGAAGCACCAGTTACGGAAATTTATAAGCGACCTGAACCACTTTGAATGGAGCACATACTTTTACATCAGTCTATTTGCTTCATGTGGCAATAGACTACAACTATCCAAGCCAATAAGAAAGCTTCCACATTCCTAAGCTTTTCAACCAGTTTGTAACAGCTACTTGAAACTTGAACAGGTGAGGGATTGTGAAGTATCCTAGCTAACAACTGTGTCCTCTCATATATTTCTTGAGAATAACATGGAATCAAGTGGAACACGAGGAATCTCCTCACAGAAGAAACACGAGGTTTTGCATCCTTCTTCTTTTTCCTTCTTTCCCTCCCTGCCTCCTCTACATAATTCATTACAATTCGTTGCAAGCCACAAATGACAAGTCCTAAGACACGGAGATGCTATTTGAAAAGACAGGAGATAATGAAACCCCTAATTTTAGGCTCTCTGCAATTGAACCTTTTTGGACATATATTACTTGAGGACCTAATGACCCCAGTCAAACGGATATAGATTCAGGAAAGCGGAAGCTCAAAATAACACGAAACCGACATAATTATGAGCACAAACAAGAAAGACCATATAAATGCACTCCCAAGAAGTAGTTCAGCCGAATACAGTTTACAGCTCTTAAGAAGTTGTAAACATACTGTCATATGCTTCCTTGTACATATCAACCAAACGAGAACCAATCCCCTTTCGGTAATATTCCCAGTCTACTGGTTCAGGTTCCTGAAAATTCAGAGTGAAAAACATTCACATAAGTTTGTGCTCCAAGTGCTTCTAGAAAAGATTGAATAATTACACTATGAGACTACCTCCAGTTCTACAGACATTATACTCACAAGTCCTAGCAATAAATAAATGGTAATGAAACCAAGCTCACAAATTGAGAGAAATGAAATATGACATCACTTTTAGAGCAGCTGGAGACAGTTGTGAGCTGCATAAAGTGTACAACAACATAAACAACAAGCTTCAATAACCTTAGTATATCGATACAGCATACAACCATGCATTTGCTACATCCCAGAGAATCAAAATCACATTCTTTCAGCAATCAGTATATCCCTTTCAGTTATTTCTCATCTTCTCTCCTCTTTTCAGATAGAAAATAATATTCAACAGATTCACTTGCATTTGCTCGGTACTTTAAATGTATAATTTCATGAAGCAATAAGCTGTTGCCTTGTACTACACATAGCAGGAATTCCACGCTAACCATGTTTCAAAGAATCGGAAAGTAACAAAACCTACCAAACCCAGCAAAGAGATTATACTTCTAATCTAGCTAAGCAATCTCACACTAACCCACTATTCAATCGATCTGTTTTTTACAATCAATCCCCACAGAAACTATAGGAAAACCAACTTCATTGGCTTTATAAATTCCCGAAGGTCAGACCACATTAATGGATGGAAAACATTCCTATTGTCAGACCATAGTTATCCATTGGCCCTAAACTTTTCACCAAATGACTACCAAAAGCCTTGGAGATGCTATCATACGAATCTTAAACAGTAGCATACAAAACTAAAGCTAATCCCTAAGCATCATTCCATAAATGCCGGAAGCGCATACATTCAGATCTAGGCCCAGATTGCAGAAACCCTAGCAAAAGGAGCGATCGGAAACCGGAAAAGAGGATGTCCGAAATTCACAACAAAATTAGATACAGAGGAAAATGGAGGGGACCTGGCTGAACTTGGTCTGGAGTTGAGAGTTAACGTCGTCGAAGGCGCGGCGGAGATTGGCGAATTCCTTGCGAGCCTCGTCGGTCACAAGGAGCTTGGCCATGCCTTCCCAATCAATGGTCTTTGACGCCTTGAACGCCACATCTGTCACCTTCTTCGCAACCCCGCTCATGGTTCCTCGGCGATTTGCCTTGTCTCACTTCCTGGTGTTGATGATCACCTCGAGCTTCTCCGACTCCGTTTAACGACTGGTATCGCAGCGGACGAAAGAGATGGGGGGGGGGGGGAGTTGTTTCTGTATAAGGAATAGCCAATGGACAATGGTTGGTAACTCGTTCGCTCAATGGCGGAGTTGTTTTGGGTCAAACTCAAAACTCAAAACCCATCCTGCGTGATGAAAGAAGGTTGGGCCTCCAGTTGGACATGAGCGAGGACCACAGGCCCATATAATATCTTTCTTTGTCTTTCTAATAGTTTCTATAGTATCTTATCTTAAATCTTAAAATATATTAAAGCAGATTGAAAATATGACCCCCTCCACGTAAGCCTCCAAGGCTTCTCCGCAATTCTCGGTTTTATGAGGGTTTTAATATTTAAAAAAACAAATTCCCCTTAAACCGTTTCCTCGCCAACTGCTTTTTTTTCCTCCCACTATTTGTTCTCTCTCTACCTCAAACTTATCTCTTCATCTTTTTTCCTAAGTTAATTTTTAGGACTTTGCTACGGTGATATGCATGTCACGGTGACATGCACTTTTCGGTCGACCTCATATAGGATTAGGTCGACCTAATCTGTTGTTTCAGTATAAAAACAGTTTCATGATACTTACTTTGGAGATTCATATCTTACAATTGGTTAGATGGTAATTGGAGATTAAAGGCTTGTTTTGAAGCTGAAGTGTCCCTCTACACATTAAAGTACTTGTGAGCTCAATAGAAAGTCCAGAAGACCATTTTTGAACCTGACCAAAAGACTATGCCAAAACTGGGAAACTGCCTGAAAATGGCTAAGTCTGGCAACGTGTTTGTCAAGCCTACTTTGGAGCTCAATTTGAGAAGCATGTATGCGAGTCAAGTCCAGGGGCCTCTACCACGTTAAATTATGTATTTTTTTATACAAAGGAAAGTCATTGGATGAAAGATTGAATATCTTTAAGGCTTCAAACAAAAGGCTCGAAATTGCTACGAAGGCTGTTTTTCTGGCAGCTTGCTTGTGCTCGAAGTCTGCCAGAAAAACAGCCTTCGTAGCAACTTCGACCCTTTTGTTTGAAGCCTTACAGATATCGAATCTTTCATCCAATGCCTTGAATTTGTATAAAAACATACCTAATTTAACGTGGTAGAGGCTCCTAGACTCGACTCGCATTCATGCTTCTCGAATTGAGCTCCAAATTAGGCTTCACAAACACGTTTCCAGACTTGGTCATTTCCAGGCAGTTTCCCAGTTTTGGCATAGCCTTTTGATGAGGTTCAAAAATGGTCTTCTGGACTTCCTATCGAGCTCTCAATCACTTCAATATGTAGAGGGACACTCCAGCTTCAAAACAAGTCATTAGTCTTCAATTTCCATCTAGCCAATTGTATGATATGAATATCCAAAGTAGGCACCATGAACTGTTTTTACACTGAAACAACATATTAGGTCGACCTGATCCTATATGAGGTCGACCGAATCCTAAATGAGGTCGACCAGATCCTATATGAGGTCGACCGAATTCTAAATGAGGTCGACCTAATCCTAACTGAGGTCGACCGGTAAGTGCAAGTCACCGTGACATGCATGTCACAGTAGGCACACCCTAATTTTTATGGTTAGTTATACTAGAATCTTGGTTCAGATGTGATTCAACCGTTTCATACTGCTAAAATCATATATAATTTGGAGTCTTACTTTTAGAAAAGTAGTACGAATGTATTGACCAACCGGTCGAAAGGAAATATTGGATATCAAATTTTAGTACCATGAATTTAGTATCTTGGTCCGGACAGTGGTTCAACCGTTTCATACCGCTATTTTGAAACAAACATAACAGTTTGTTTGGTTATCTCATCATTAATAAACAATATTTTATAATATGAACTTTTTTTCATAACAAATAGACATTTCACTTATCATATACAACTCAAACATTAGATATTGAGAACAAACATACATTCATGTATCAAGTATAAATAATAAATTTGATTGACAAATTTGGACTGAAATTTCAATATTTCATAGTGATATTTTTTAAACCTCCTAGAAGGATATGATTACAAATAAGAGAGGTCGAATTATCATATTTCTATATGATAAATGTTGGTAGATTTTTTTTAAAAATTAATGTCACATGTAAGAGGGCAAGGGATTTCGTTTACTCTTTTGCCTGATTTGGAGAAGGTGTAAAAATAAATTATAAAAATGAACATATCGGCAATTTCTGATAAGCCTATCGGCAATTTCTGATATTCCATAAATAATATTTGACTTCTTTTCTTCCTAGAAAAATGAACATGTAAAAATAAATTATAAAAACAATGATTGAATTACGATCCAATAAACCTAAATTGAAAAACGTTGTAATAATGTTCTTGAAAATTAGTTGTAAAAACACAAATGACTTAAAATAATTAAAGTATGCATTTAAATTATTCGATCGATAAGATAAAATGCAAAACTCACCCGGCCAACAGGCCGGGCACAAATCTAGTTAAATTAAAAGGCTTTGAGAAAAAAATGACAAAAATACTAATAATTTCTTTTATCCGTCCGAATCTAACTATATTGTAAAATCCGATCAAAATAAAATGTTAGGTGGTATGGGTCAAATTTGAATCGAACAATACTAGTAATGGACCAATATGTGTTTACACCAAAATAATTTTCAATAATTATTACATGCATGAACAGTTTGGCCACTTTAAGTAGTTGGTTCATGTGTACATGGATTGACCGATTTATCAAGTCGGGTCGTAGGTTTGGTGGATGGTAGCTCGGTATGAGGTAACCATCCAAGATGATTAATGTACTAACCAAGGACACCATCCAACCCTATTATGGATGGTACTTTCCAACATCATGATTCATGAATACCATTCAAACCCTATTTTAGATAGTACCGGCCAACATCATGGATACCATTCAACCCTATAAGATCTCACATCTTTGCTTCCAACCTCTTGTCCAATTCTCGTTGCTTATTGAGGAATTTTTGAAAAGCAGGGTTGGGTCTACCTATGATGGGAGATGTCCCTATGGTTTCCACCTATTCTTCTTCGACCTTCTTCTCCTCTTTGACAGGTAAGGATCGATTGTGAGCAGGTTGTGCACATACTTATATATTAATTAATATTAGTGTTAGCCATTGGTTACTATTCTCATGTATATATACACTAGACACTTATATATACACTATGCATATCCTATTTGTTTTAAAAAGATAATAGAATAAAATTTTAATGAAATAGCTACGATAACAATTGAAATTATCCCATTGAGAATACGAAAATTAGAAGCATAATAGATAATTATATTTTAAACAATGCTAGAAAGAAATTACATTTCAAATAAATACGATATAAATATTTTAATTTATTATTATTAAAAATTAATTTGGGCCACATCTCAATTTTGGAACTAGGGGCTATCGTAAGTACACTAGTCCCAAAAAGTCCCAACATTAATATGGACTGAAAGGAGTGAGGATTGTTTATCCATCCCCCATTTTGGCCTTCAACCGCAAAATTCAGTTGAAATGCCATCGTAAAACCATGAAGTTGTGGAAGAACTTGGCGTTACGGTCCCCTTCCGCTAGCCACTAAATAGTAGGGCTGGGCATGCGGGCGGATCATCCGCGGGTTTGGGCCGACCCACCCGCATTTGACCCGAATTTCGTTAAGTGGGTGGGTCTGTGGGTGGGTAACGGGTTGCGCTAGGAGCCATCCGCCGGGTGGTGGGTGGGTTGTGGGTGAGTGTGCGGGTGACCCGCTCAACCCAACAGCAAAAAGATCAAAGTCGTTGGCGCTAGAGAGAGGAGAGTGGAGACGTTAGATATAAACTCGGACTGCTCCTGGAGTTTGAAGCTCAAAGCCAACCTTCCAAATAGAGATCCCCTCTTATTCCCTTTACTTTTTCCTCTAATTCTTGTGCCTAGATCGCCGCTCTTTCCTTTGTGGAATTATTTTCCTTAGTTCCTTGCACCTAATAATCATCTCAATTTGTAGAAAACTCTTTCATAATAGAATTTCTATCCAATTTAAGAACTAATTCGACATTTTTCGCCCTATTTCAACTTCTTGTTTCCCTCGATGATTCTCTTCACATATTATCATTTCAAGTTGACTCCTTTATATTATATACATTATAATGTGGGTGAACCCACAAACCCACCCGCATCATCCACCATCCGCCCGACCCAACCCGAGACTAAATGTGGGTGGGTGGTGGGTTAAAAATTATCAATCCATTTAAGCGCGGGTGGGTGCATTTTATGGTCAAAATCCACCCGACCCACCCAATGCTCACCCCTACTAAATAGTGAGGAAAGAGGATTTCACCTTTGTTCAATTCACTTCGTTCCGTCCTTTGTTGAAGCAAGCTGTATACACAGTAACCTACCATTAAACACTTTTATTGAATTCACTGTTAAAATTACAAAAACAATAAATTACAAATTAAATAACTATACATTCCCAACAAATCCTAACTTGACAACTTCTAAGTGGGTATCACCCTAACAGAACAAAGAAAAGAAAAAAGACTGCAGTCGAGCTGGAAGAGACTAGAGAGTAAGCAGTTAAGGGCTCCAGGCTCCAGCCATTTGCTATTCATTCTTTCGACAATTTGATCTTGGATTTCTTTATTTCGTCCAAACCATAGCCGAGAAGGGATGTTTCGGTAGGTTTATTTCTTTCTCATAAAATGTTCAGAAGAAATCATCAGAATCTGTATCCCAGTAGTCCTCGAACTCATCCTCCTGAAAGTGTTCCTCCTGGTCAGACAAACCCAATTCATCTTCGTGCAAAATATTATCTTCAACCCACAGTGGGCAAGAACACGTTGCTTTCTTATCCTTCCACTCAGCACCACAGTTGTAGCAGAATTCGTTCCCACATCTGAGGCAAAAGCAAAGAGGAAAACACCATATGTCAGATGAACCTCGAAAGAAAACTTATAATTTACAAGTTTAAATTGGTGTTATTTGTCTTGATATTGGATGTCATGGGAGAATGTTCGTAAACCATTGTTTGAAAGATTGGTTATCAAGCAGAATCAAGAAATTCGCTCCTGCTTCCAGAATTTGCAAGCAACATTCAATACGACCAGACAAGTAATTCAAAGATAGGCTAATAAGGACAATAATAGAAGAATACCTGCACGTC